CCCCCCCCCCCCCCCCCCTCCCCTGACTGACGAACGCTCCCCCTCCCCCTTGTCTCTGCCCCCTCTCCCGTCCTCTGGCGAACGCCTTGTCCTGGGGGAACACCGGGTTTTGTCTCAAACCGCGGCCGCTTTCGTCCAACCAACCGACCAACCTACGACAGGGCTGGAGTACATAGAGGAGGAGGTGATGACAATGCTGAGGGGGGTCGACCTGGACGGCAACGACTCGATCGAATGGAAGGTGGGGTGCACTTGATTTAGGAGCAGCAGCGGGCGAAAGTCGGCACGGAGGGGTTCCCTCAATAGTGGTTTGGGTTATGCGCCAGGGGTTCATCCAAAGCTGTAGCCGGTTGTCATATATCTTCTGCCTTTCCCATCTCATGATGTCGACTGACTGATCAATCGATCCGTCCTGTATGAAGAGTTCATCCAAAACAAACCGTCACCGGTTGCAAATCTTCCGTCTTTCCCGTCTGTTGATGTCGATCGATCTGTTGCAGCGGGGGTTCATCCAAAACCGTCACCCGGCTACATGTCTTCTTTGTTTTTTCTCCCCGTTTATTGATGTCGATCAATCAATCGACCTGTCATGTATCAATGTACCGTATATGACACAAGATAACACACCCCCTCGACCGTTTTGCGAAGCTCGATTTCTCAACTGCAGGAATAGTCACAGCGCCGAAAATGGCGGCGTTGAAACTGTCTCGTCGAGAGCTTTTCGAAAATGTATCATTTCGTTTATGCATCCTCTTCGTCGTGGAGTAATCGAGCTTTGAAAATCGGTCCGGGGTGTGTGTTATCTTGTGTCATATACGGTATGCTATGCACCAGGAGGTCATCCAAAACCGTTACCGGTTATATTTCCCATCTATTGATGTCGACCAATCGATCGATCCATGTTTGTATGCCATGCTTCAGGAGGTCATCCAAACCGTCACCGGTTATATTTCCCGTCTATTGATGTCGGCCAATCGATCGATCTGTCATGTATGGATGTATGCTTTGCACCAACCAGGAGGTCATCCAAAGCCGTTACCGGTTATATTTCCCGCCTTGTGGTGTCGATCTTTCTATGCTATGCACCAAACAGGAGTTCCTTGCGGCGACGATCGACCGGAACGTGTTCATCCGGGAAGACAACGTTAGGAGAGCGTTCCAGCACTTCGACATCGAGGGCTCGGGGAGCATCACCCTGGCAAATCTCGTCAGCATATTCGGCAGCGAAGATCACGCCCGAGAGATCGTCGGTGAGCTTCCCTTGTTGTGTTTTTTCCTCTTACTTGTGGCACCACAAACTCATCTCCTCCGCGAGTCTGGGATAGAATTGTACTTCGCTCATCTCCCCTTATTTTTTGTCTCGTATCACACCTTAGTTCATTCACGTTTGTTCGTTTTGAGCGTACCTTCCTTTTTTTTTCTTTTTGCCGTTGTTTCTCCGGGCACCGCGACCTGACCACGACTAAATAGCGACGATTTTGCGTGAATTGATTGCGCTTGTGTTTGTTTCTGTGGTTTGCCCCCCCCCCCCCCCGGTGTTTGCCATCGGGGTTGGGTTTTCGTCGCTTGGCAACGACGTTGTAAAACAAGCCG